TGGATCACTTCACTTTAATGTCATTATCCTAAGGCCTAAATTTAGTGAAAGCAATGAAGCTTGAATCTAATCATTTAGTCAATAGGCATTTATGAAGGACCTTCTATGTGAAGACCTCTTTTCTGATTCAGAGAATCTAGCCATGCTGTCCCCAGAATTCTGTGAGCAAAGGAGGAAATCCAAACCTCGGCAGTAATCCCCTTCCTTCCTCTTTAGCTTTGTTCCAGTTTGATTTTCCCTCCCGTCAATAAACCCATTTGTCAAATAACTCAATTTAATGTCTTGTCTCATTTGTCTTATTATTCCCAGAGTACTGAATTTCTTCACCTAACTAATTTTATACATAATGAAAACATAGAGTTTTTGTTCTAGGGAAAAAATTATTTACCTGAATTAAGAATTCAAGCATAGCTGCAAGCTATCTGAAAAAGGTATCTTAATGAAAAAGCAGTTCCATCAGAAAGAGAAAAGCAGAACACTTTCTAGAACATTTTAATATCTTTGTTCCTTCATAAAGAAATTTAATTATTCATATGCCAAGTGTACACCAAAAAGTTTGAAAGATAAAACAAATATCAGAAAGCACTGAGTCTTCAATAAGAAATATTTTAAATGCAGTAGGTTCAAATTATTGCATTTATATTTACTCTCAGCTCTGTAAAAAGTATATAACCAGGGAAAAATGTCAGTCAGAGAAAAATGCTAGTTAAATAACAGTAAGGCAACTCAACATACAATGAAAGATTAAAATAATTTAATGCACAGAATTTCCCTAAGAACAAATAAAAAGTATAGCTGTAATTATTTGAAAGGCAACTATCAAAGGCAAATTTTACAAAACGAACCTTGCGTAACACTGAAACAAATTTGTCTTACATGCAGCAAATTATTAGATTAAGGATGCAGGATACAAAAGTTAATATTTTTAAGATGAATGTTTAAGTTTGCTCTGATTGGGCTGGATCCACGGTCTGGGTGAAGGCAATTGGATTCTACATGACTGACTACATACTTCAAGTCCCAGACCCGACAGCTTGAGAAACATGCCAACTCATGTGTGTGCACAGGCACCCATAATCCTGAAAGAAGAAATTATTGCATTATCATTCCCCCACGGTGAGGGGTGCTTTCTCCTCTCTCTCTTTTTCTCTCAATTGCATGCACTCTCTATGACAAAAGAAGGATGGATCTACTTTAAACAGAATACTAGAAAATCAGAAGAAGAATGAACCCAGAATTGTTTCTCACATTATTCTATGTAAACTCAGAGCTTCCCTCAGTCTTATAGGATGTTGCTCTGCCTACTCTGCAAAATTCTGCCCATATCTGCCTCCAGCTAACTTCCTCCATCCTTCCTGGCTTCTCTGAAACACACAGAGAGACATACACTCTCACACACAGAGAGACATACACTCACACACCAGGGCATACCCATGCACACTGAACCATTCTCACACACACACAAACATACAAACTTACACGATGTCGCACTCACTCGTGCACATGGAGTAACACATACACACACCCTCATCTTCTTCCCGTGGGTCCCGTCAGACTCAGTTCTGATACCTTCCAGTCTGCTGAGCCCTCACTGCATTTCCTCAGTTCCCAGCAGGCTAGCCTCGCAGCCTGTAGAGCACCTCACACCAAACTCACCTGTGCCTCCCACTGGACTCTGAGATCATTGAGAGAAAAAATGATGTGTTCTTCAAATAACCTCCTGGCATAGTACCTGAAATACAGGGAGTTTGCAGTAAATGTGTGCTATGTGTAAAAAAAAGAATGAATCCTAAATGATGCCTGAATTGCATGGATCTGTCTCTTTTATTCTCTGTCTCTAAAGTAGCTTTCAGTTCAGCCTTCAATGTGTCTATCTGTACTATATTTTTATTAATTACTCTTCCTATTTCTATTCTTAGATGCTACTTCGACACCAAAATGTTGAGGCAATATAATTCTTTTAGAATTATTTATTTAATTTTATTTACAATCATCATTATTTTTATTATTATTATTAATTTTGCTACAGGGCACGTGAACTCACTGGAGAGAGACAGAGAGAAAGTGAGAAAGCAAACCACCAAGTCTGGGACTTAAACTGCAGTTGGCCACGTGGGAGGCCAGCCTTTATCCCCATGCCACCTGTGATTCTTAACACTGGCACCAGAGTCTTTTACCCGCGGGCATAACCCATGAATACCTCTCTTTGCTGTAATGAGAAATCTGCGTGATTTTGGGTCTTCGCAGAAATCCCACATTAGTGCTTGACAGAGTCAGCCCCAGTTTCACAGAAGTTCTTTACCATGTGATTGCTTTTTTTGTCTCACTGAGTCCTTGGACAAAAGAGTTAATAAAAATTATATTTTCTTAACCTCTGGCCGTACACTGACTTACTGCACCAAGGGAACTTTGACGCCAAGTGCTTTGGCATATTTACCCCAACAGCATAGTAGCTATTGCCCTCTCTATTCCATAAGGAACTAGAAATACAATGATGTAGAATAATGAAGAAGTGATGTTAATTGCACATCATTTTACTTATGCTTTTGCATTGTGGACTTCTGAGAAAAATTTAAAATATTAAAATGAAAATTAAAAATGCAATTACATTGTTTTCTTTAGCTGAACTTTCAAAGATTTCTAGATATACAGCATAAATATTGTCTTAATCTGTAAGATCTGGGTTTGTTATTACAAAGATTTCAAAACTTCATAAATGTGCAGGCAGCAGGTGGCATGGTGGTTAAGAATGCTGGACTCCTACATGGCCGACTGCAGTTTGAGTCCCAGACCTGGCAGCTTGCTTTCTCACTTTCCCTCTCTCTCTTTCTTGCTCTGTCCCTCCTGGCCAAATTAAAAATAAATAAAATAAATAAATAAACTTAAATAAAATAATTCTTTTTTTTTCTTTTTTTTTTTTTTTTT